CTGCATGCACGAAGACATCTTGCTGGTCACTAACGAATATCCGTACGAGTGCGCCATCATCACTGTTGGGACATCCGCAATGCTAACTTTGGTACGGTTAATTCCGAATCGCATGTAAACTTGACCGAAAGGCGTGCTGCATAACCAACATGCCCGGTCGCCAAAAGTCTTTGACTGAAAGGTATTAAACGCGGGTGGCTGGCTTGGTGACTTTGGTCCATGCTAACTGTGAGGCCTGTATGAAGTTCTCCGCGCGCACAGGAATTGTTTGCGCAACCTGAATGCGGCCGTCTCTGCCGTTGCCAACAGGCGCTGGCCAAGTGATAGCTTGACGGGACCTTGCAAATCACGCAGAAGGCCTGCCCGGCATCTACACCGTGTCTATCATGTGCGTTCTGGCGAAGGCAATTTTCGACAATCTGAAGTTCCACCTCAATGCTATCAGCTGAGCAGATCCTCCTTACTCTTTGTGCCAAGCAGCGGACTAAATTGCACTTCATGTTTACCGGTACGAACCTCCTAAAATTGGTGTATTGTCCGCACTACGTCTTCTTACGATAGACCCTACGTCGAATACTACCATCAGGCCTTCCGCTCAAAAGCACACAGAAAGGGGAGCGATCCGGATTGTTTTCCTTCAAGCGTGAATGTAATTGATGGGTGTGCCCGATTGATTTCGTCCGGTGGGGCTCAAACGTCGTTTTGTTTGGGTACAATCGCGAATACATCATCCGCACAACGCACATAATATCTTAGATCATCGATCTGGCGACGGAGTTCGAAAGCATCTAGCTAGACAAAAGCGGACCAAGGGGCAAGCCTATAGCTTCTCCGTCGATTTGACGATACAGATTGTTATCAAATATAAACTGTACGTCTAAAGTACGTCTCAATAACAATTCCCGAATGGCGGCAACTTTTGAGGGAAGAGGCCGAATGCCGTTTGAGTCTATCAGATGACCTAAGAACTCAAGAGAAGTGGCTCCTAGGACACATTTGGAAGGATGCAGGGTGACACCAAACTGCTGAAATCGGTCGAAAAGCAGGGTAAGGTGATGGAGATGTTCCTCCACATCTCGACTGGCGACGAGAACATCATCAGTGTACGCATAAACAAATGGAAGGCCGCGTAAAACACGGTCAATGAAACGTTGGAAAGTTTGTGAGGCATTTCGGAGACCAAATGGCATACGAAGGAACTCGAACAAGCCAAAAGGAGTCGTCACTGCCGTTTTGGGAATGTCCTCAGCCGCAATCGGAATTTGATGAAAAGCCCGCACCAAATCGATCTTCGAGAAAATGGTTTTGCCGAAAAGGGCTCCAGCAAAGTTCTGAAGATGAGGAACGGGGTACCGATCGGGCATAGTGATATTGTTTAGGGCTCTATAATCGCCACAAGGACGCCAATCATCCGTATTTGGTTTAGGAACCATGTGCAAAGGAGATGCCCAGGGACTGTCAGACTGTCGAATAATCCCTAGTTGCAGCATGTGGTCAAATTCTGCTTTAGCAGCCGCAAGACGCGCGGGAGCAAGACGGCGGGGACGAGAAAAAACGGGAGGACCAGTCGTTTTTATATGATGAACAATATCATGGGGAAATGAGGTGTCAGAAAAATGGGGCTTAGT